TAATTTTAATAATTATTTTTCTTCATTCTCTTTTTTCTTTAGTCGTGGTGGCCTGGAGGTTAAGGAGCCCGCTTCTCATGCATGAGGGTGTGGGTTCGAAACCTGGCAAGTACCAATGTGACTTTTTCCGAGTTATATGTACTTTCTATGATTATTTAGACACCACTGACATACGGTGAAGGTAAACATCGTGAAAAAACCTGGACTTATAATTTCTAATTGTAAGTTTGAAATCGCCAACCCGCATTGAGCAAGCGTGGTGATTAATGCTCAAACCTTCTCCGTGTGAGAAGAGGCCTTTGCTCAGCAGTGGGCACTTATAGGCTGATGATGATGATGATTTTTCTTTATAAAGTTACCTTATCACTGACTATATATCTTAGGCTATATTTAGTTTTTAATAAAAATAGGGTTCCTTATTAAAGCTCCGATGATGTAGCCCAAAGTATAAAAAAACCAAAATCTTTCTTTAATCGCAAATGCTGTGAAAACTATTGAATAAATAACAAAGTAATGTACTACAATTTTGTAGAACGTATCATTGTGTACAAAAAATGTCGCAACCATCGTTTCCCTAACTATTATAAGTTTGTCACAAATTTGATTTAAAATTTAATAATTTCTTCCGTGTTGATTTCGGATTTTGGTTTGCTTAGCGTTTAGGATTTGGTGTTGGTGGTCGATAAGCAATTTTTTAAATAATTAAAGTACCTTCTTGAAATGGCTCTTTATCTTGATATTAATTCTTATCAAAGCAATGTATTTATTGTTTAAGATCGTCTCAAAACCTATAAATGACTTCGAATTATTAGATTCTAACATACCATTCAAAACATATGTGAAGTTATTTTATTTTTAATATCCGCTCAGCGCCTACCTATCAACAACGCGTAGAGTTGTAGTCGTCACTGGGCACAAAGGTACAAAAAAAATATATATCTTGTCGCCGTGATTAGGCTTTTTTGTGGAGGGTAAATCATCAAATGACTTCTTATCCCCAGGGTATTTTTTTATGTAATAGGTCGGCAAACGAGCAGGCGGATTACCCGATGGTAAGCAATCAGCGCCCCCCATGGACACTCGCAACGGAGGAGTTACGAGTGCGTTTCCGACCTTTAAGGGATAAGGGATTGAGGAGGGATTGGGGGAGGGGAAGGATTGGGCCTCCGGTAACCTCACTCACACGGCGAAACACAACGCAGTGATTATTTCACGCCGGTTTTCTGTGAGGCCGTGGTATCACTCCGGTCGAGCCGACCCATTCGTGCCGAAGCATGGCTCTCCCACACTTCAATATGGCGAGATGGTGTGTCATACTCTTTCTAACTAAAACCCCTCGTTTCTTCTCCTGCTCCTGGCCGAGGTTAAGGCCTCGGTATCTTACTGTGCGCGGGTCAAGCGTGCACCCTGGCTAAGTATTGCCCATGTTGGGGTCTATCTGTGGTGGTCTAATGAGTGTTTCAACCACGCGCAGAATGCAACGCCACTCAATCTCTGACGCCTGGAGGCTGGGGCACGAGGTGGATATTTCCCTCATGCACTCCGCTTCCTTTTTTGCAAGCATCACTGCTTCGCAGAAAGAGGAGACGACTTCCCAGCTCCTATCGCTCCGCACCATGGCCTCGACTAGGGCCGGACGCGAGAGCTCGCCGCCACCGATCACTTTCCTGAAGACACTCAGCTCCGGACTGTCTATTGTCAATCTGTCTATTGAAAAAATATCAGGATCAACTTTCCCAGTTGCAACATCTAAAAATTTCGCATAGACTCACTCGTACTGATTCACATTCCTACGAGCTACACGGCGTCTGCGACAATTTAAATATCATATAGTGCGGTCATTTACTTACGAGTAACAGACGTAGACAACAATTCACTTCGTTTGGTCGAAAGCTCGCGTACCAGTAAAACTGGATCTGGACTGGATGGATGGATAAGACTGGATCTGTTTTCCTTATTTTATAGATATTCTGTAATGTTATTTATTGTATCCTGTTTTGTGTGCCTATTAAAAATAAATAAATAAATAAAACGTCTCATTGCTACGTCTAGAACTTTCCGCCGCAGTTTTACTTTCAGATATGTACAAATTGGTTACAGAAGCTTATCTACCTCGTATTCCTACTTCAGCTGTCTTTTTGTGGTCAGGTTCCACAAATTCAGTGCCTTTGCAACTGTTATGAGCGATCTTCATACATACCGCGTTAGCCAGGTGAAGCCTTTTTTTTGTGGTGGGTGTCGACTTCGGTGGGCCCTTCCGTATCAAGCTGGATACTCACCGTTGGGCAAAATTAGACAAAGCCTATTTATGGCTATTCGTGTGTCTAGTTACAAAAGCCATCCATTTAGGGGTGGTCTCCATATCGGCAGAGGGTTTCATTGCTGCATTGCGACGTTTTGTGGGTCGTCGTGGACGCTGTTCAACTATACACCCTGATTCCGGAACCAATTTTGTCGGTGCTAGAAATCAACTCACTGCTTTAATGCAAACTGCGTCTAGCACGGAGATTATTGAGTTCAGATTTAATCCAACGTCTGCGTCCCATTTCGGAGTTTTGGATATTCAAAGTAAAGCCGCAGAACAAGATTCGCATCGCATAGTCGGTGATCAGGTTTTAACATTTGAAAAACTTACTACTTGTTTGTACAAATCGAGGTAGTTTTGAATTCACGGTCCATTTGCCCTATTAGTTCGGATCCTTATGACTTGTCAGTGTTAACATTCATGTCATTTCCCTACACTTGAGACTTTGACCTCTGTTTTGACTCCAGTGATAAATATTCTAACATCAAGACTCATCGCCTTTAACGGTGGCAGCTGTTGCAGGCTTTCCAGTAAAGTTTTTGGTCGAGATGGAAACATGAGTACTTAAATTCCCTCACTCAACGTGCCAAATGGACCAAGAACTCTAATCATTAAGGATGAGCTCTCTCGTGATCATTAAGGATGACAATCGACTTGCTCTTGACTGGTCATTCGGTAGACGATCTTCTTCCGGGCGCTAACGGAGTAGTCAGGATTGCCATTCTTAAGACCGTTACTGGCAATTTAATTAGCCATGACCACTGGTCAAACTGTGCCTCTACCTATAGAGATATATTAGATTCATACTTCAATAATGACTAAGGTTTAACGTTTTCTTCTTAACTTTTCCATATATAATCAGTTTTTCTTCTTCGTGATTTCCGAAAATACAATAAGTATTTTGATGGGTGGAGCGTTTCTTCATCATACAAATTCCAAAAAAAAAAAACAATATTAGCATATTTTAATTTACTTAACGGCCGACATACGATCTTACCGATTTTCAGCAGTGGTAATCACAACTGTTTCGCCAGTTTGTCGTACGTTCCATACTCGGCACCCGATTGGTGCTACTGCTGCAACCGCCATGACGTCACAAACTGTCAATCGACAAACGCTCCTTTTGGGTTCTCTCATCATCTTAGACGCGCGCACCTCGCGATCTCTTCAGCTAAAACCTTTTAAAACGCGTCGAATCAATCGATTTTTTCCTGAGAAGACTTATTCCCAGAATCTGGTGACCTTCAGTGGAATAATCATCGCTAATGCGGATCATCGGCAGTAGAGATAGCAGACCAAAGTACCTGTACGTATCATAGTTTGTTACTAATGTATTTCATAAGAACTTCGTCTTTGTAACCGTTCAGTCCCTCGGACTGTACCAAATGCTAGCTCAATGATCCAAGGTTTTATCATGAGTGCTCACCTTCTCTCTACTCCCCCGTATCCAGCATATATCCTGTGTCCAAATTTCTATCATCGAATCCCTAAAAAACTCTGTGGATATCTGAGGGTGACGACGATTCCGGAATATCAGGTCTTCCGTCCACTCACTCATAATTTTTATGTTAATAACGGTAAGTAATTAGAAGTAAATTGCTGATTTAATTAAAACTACTTGCAGGGTATTTATTAATTCGAATATAATTAAATTAAACCATAAAACGCACCATTATCGTATAACATACAAACAGAAACGATTGTACAATCATTTTGATGGCAAACTCAGTTGTGTTTGTTTACAGTAAGATATTTTTTTTTCATTTATTCAATAGTAACTTCTCAGTCACATTAATTAACTGAGAAAAGCTCTACTGGTTTCAGTTTATGCTTTTTTTATGTAATATGTCGACGAGCAGACGGATTACCTGATGGTAAGCAATCAGCGCCACCCATGGACACCCGCAACGGAGGAGTAACGAGTGCGTTGCCGACCTTTTAGGGATTAGCGATTTGGAGATTTGGGGATTGAGGGGGGATTGGGGGAGGGGAAGGATTCGGCTTCCGGTAACCTCACTCACATGGCGAAACACAACGCTGTCGTTGTTTCACACCGGTTTTCTGTGAGGCCGTGGTATCACTCCGGTCGAGCCGACCCATTGGTGCCGAAGCATGGCTCTCCCACATTAAATGCTGGCTGCAACATCCCCCACAGTGCTCATTAAAGGATCCTGTTGTGTTTCGAAACTAGTAGAGCTTTTCTCAGTTCACTCACGCGTGTAAGTCATTATTTTTCAACAAATTTACCATGCCTTACAATTGATTAAATGATTATAGTATTCATAAATCATTTTAATGTGTCTGTAAACGGATAATTTTTCTTTTTATTACCTTGCAAATAAATATCACCACCAATCCACATACTTATAGAAAAATTCTTTAATTTTTTTAAGTAACTTGTCAGGCTGCAGCAAGTTATGAAGCACAACTAAAAACACACATTCTACATAAAAAATACTTTTCTTTTTTCTTCATTCCATTCGTTCAATTTAGTTCACCAAGGTTATTTATGGATTTGATTTAGTCAAAAGTATGTAAGTAGAAATAAAGCCGCCTCCACAAACATGGTTAGCCTATACTTGACAGAAGAAAGTGCTAATTATGAGAAAATAATTAAAATATTATTTATATCTATTTTATAGAAATACTATTACTTATCGCATCAATAAGCAACACACACATTGTCATGGGTCAAATGACATACAAACTAAATACAGCAACGAATACTAAAGACTTAAGAAATATTTCACGTCGCACGCACAATCCACAAACAGAATGGACATTCGAAAATTACTTGAAGAAATATGAACCAAGCGTTGTATGGGAGAGGATAGATAAAATGAGAAAGTATAAGGGGCTGAACATAACATATGAAGAACAAACAGAAATGATGATAGAAGGAATCGATACGTTCAATGAAATGATGGATATGAAAATTGAAAATGGGGATCCTAAACTGATCTTGAAGCGAGATGGCAGGCGAGGTTGGGTGGCTCCTGGTGCGGCAAGCGAGAATAAAAACGACAGATTCTACCTCCGACGCAGGCTTTACGAGTTGATGAAGCAAGCCATTTATCAGACCAGAAATAAGATGATTGGCATGCAGATGCGCAGGGAAGCACTCGCAAATTCATCGCTTTACAAAATGGGATTCTTAATGAATAAGATTGATAATTTGGTGAAGGTCTTCAGTATGTTTTCTTACAGAGCATTAAAGGGTTGTACTCAACACTTAGTAGACTTAATTGTTCGATTCCCCACGTACGATATACTGAATGCTAACGAGAGACAACTAAGCATCCTGTTCAATATAGAACTTTTATTTGAATTACTTCGTAGGAACGACGTTACCTGCAAAAGACTCTTCAAAAAAGTAAAAGTGAACAGAAAGGAAAAATTAGATGCAATGTTTGAGAATTAGACATATTCTTTTAATATTTTAACTTAAGTACTTATACACAATACATTAATAATTAATTATTTTAATGTGTTAATTTACTTTAACTAAGAATCTGAGCTTAAGTATATTGCTGATTTTTGTTTTTCTGTCTTGTCAACCTTTTTTTTTGTTATTATATATTTTTTTGTTCCTGGCCGACATTTCTAATGCCGAATAAACGCATTTTTCTTTTTTTCTCTACTTTCTTTGTGGCATGCATCACACAATCGAACGCCTTGGATGAATCACAAAATATTTCCAACGCGTTGCTTGAGCTCTCCCACTCCATCATAAATGTAATTAAGAAGTTTAGGTATCAGGTGTTTAAGGACTCTTAGTAAAACCAAACTGTTTGGTATGTAATAATTTATTATCATATTTTTGCATTAGAATTATTTCTTCTCATATCTTAACAGACATTTTACATGTTTTAAGAGTTCTTTGTGAAGAAGCTCGTTGAAAGGTTTAGGTGCAGGTATAAAAACAGGCATACGAGACATTTTAAATTTGTCTCATCGATAAAAAAAAAAATATATTTCCTTAACAATTCAACCGTCTAATCATTCCGTCTCAATCTTTGTAAATATAGTTACACACGGCACAATCTTCTTTTAAATTCTAGACGCACGTGTTGCGAGCTACCTCTAGCTGCCTTTACCTGCAGAACTTGCACGTGCACCCAGGAGCGAAAGCTCCACTCGGTGACAAAAAAAAGTGTTATTTGATTAATTTAATTGCATCTCCATTTTTAAAATTATTGTGTGTGCCTACTTCACTTGTTCATCAACATCATACTGAACATATTGAGGTCTAATATATAATATAAAGACCTCAATCTATAATATTAATCTATAATGTATAATATTAATCATATTGAGGTCTTATAATTTATAGCATAATAAATGAAATTATTACAGTTTACAAAAAAAAAATATAACAAATTTAAAGTAGTGTTTAGAGGGACACATACAAACTTAATTCTTCCCTTATTTAACCGATCGATCCTGAATAATAAAAACCCCCAGGGGACACCTTGACGTGGTGGGGGGCTGAGGGATGGCATGAAATATAATAAGGTCACTGACAACTAGACCCACCCTTTAAAGGAGGTACTAATACTGGAGCCACTAGCATCGTGGCTATACCCTTTCAACTATTGGTCCCGAATCACCTATGCATTTAACCCAGTCACAATTCAAATGCACTATTTTCCCAACCTAGTCTTCGTTACTTCCTCAATCATTGCTAGTCATACCCCAGGCGGATACCGGAGTTAACAACAATGGAGAATCCCGCCCCGGGCTTTCCAGCTCGGGCTGCCATTCGTACTCTGGCCTTCCCAGAAAACCGCGCACCGTATCGCAACTGTCCAGTCACAAGCTGTTGCAGCAAGACATGCTCAGTTGTCAACAGGTTCTTCAGCAACTTCATCATTATTCTCAACCATCCCCACATCACCTGCATCATACATCAACCAACAACAATCAAGTTCAGACGATTCATCCCCATTATCATTTCAATCCACCAGGAATGTTGGGCAGAAGAAATGAATATCTCCAACAAGCGCCACTACTTCATTCTCACTAATCTCGAACACAACACTAAAACCGAATACACAACACTAAGACTAAAGCCGAATAACGTCTAATGAATGACAGACGATATCATAGAAACGATTATTTATCTTATGCTTTATCAGTTGTTGAATATTACAGAGCGACCTGTAATTTCTGTGTCATGTAGAATGCATCCAGCTCGGGGAGAACAAACTCCACAAATTTAAAATGTGGGAGAGCCATGCTTCGGCACAAATGGGTCGGCTCAACCGGAGTGATACCACGGCCTCACGGAAAACCGGCGTGAAACAACCACAGCGTTGTGTTTCGTCGTGTGAGTGAAGTTAGCGGAAGCCCACTCCGGTACGGCACGGCACTCACACGGCGAAGCAGAACGCTGTGGTTCCTTCCTCTCCCCAAATCCCTACCCAATCCCCAAATCTCCCTAATCCCTAACCCCAAAAGGTCGGCAACGCAATCGTAACTCCTCTGTTGTTGCGGGTGTCCATGGGCGGCGCTGATTGCTTACAATCAGGTAATCCGTCTGCTCGTTTGCCGATCTATATCGATATATATAGATAGAAAACAATTCTAATTGTGTTAATTTAGTAAGTCTTTTTAAATCTTTTGATTTGTCTAATGTTTTCCTTGAGCCCACCCGAGTAACATCCACCTCGGCTACATGCATAGATAATATATTTTGTAACTGTAATTATTTACATAAGGATATAATAAATACCTTACCATCAGACCACAGTGGGTTAACAATGAACCTTACCAACATCACAAAGGTGCCAAAAAAGGAAATAATGTTTAGGCAAATCACAAATAAAAGGGTTGAGTTATTAAATAACAATTTGAAACATAAATTATGCAGCCCATCACATGATTATGAAGGTCCAAGTGAGATTTATGACAATCTACTGTCCGTGATTAAAACCCAGTTTGATAAAATATTCCCCTTAAAAAGAAAAACTATTGAGTGTAAATTTGTATTCTGTGACTGGGCTACCCCAGGTATTCGTAGAAGTAGGGAAAGGTTATTTGAGCTATATGGTATGAAACCATTTGATACTAGTGAAGCCTTCAGCAAGCATGTGTCCAAATATGCAAAAATATTTAAAACAGTCTGTAAGCAAGCTAAATCACTTTATATTGGCAATAAGATTAAAAATGCTGAAAATAAAACAAAAGCTACGTGGAAGGTAATTAATAACGAGACAGGCAGAAATAAATTGCATAACACGGAATTTAATTTAAATACGGATAATGGACGAGTTAATGCTAATCAAGAAGTTGCCCAAGAATTCGAATTTTTTTTCAAGAATATCTCCATTAAAACTACGAAAGACTTAGAATCATCTCCGGCACTTTCTATTAGTCTTCTTAAAAGAAATGTTAAAGAATGCCGTTCTGGCTTCCGATTTCAGTACACGGACCCGCAATCAGTAATAAAGGCGTTTAAAGACATAAAAGTTAAGTCTACAGAGGATCTATGGGGAATGTCTGTTGTGGTGTGTAGGTCTTTTATAGAAGCTATAGCGCCTTACTTAGCTGTAATTTTTAATAAAAGTGTAGATCAGGGTGTTTTTCCAAATTTGATGAAACTTAGCAAGGTAGTTCCGTTGTTTAAATCTGGCGATGACAATGATCCCAATAATTATAGGCCGGTATCAATTTTACCAGTGCTTAGTAAAGTGTTTGAAAAGCTAATGCTTTCTCAGATGCTACGACACTTTAACATAAATTCCATCTTTCATGACCAACAATATGGGTTTACCAAAGGTCGATGCACAACTGACGCCGGTGTAGCTCTACTTAAGCATGTTTTTGCCTCATGGGAAAAGTCAAACGACGCTATTGGGATTTTTTGTGACCTGTCTAAAGCTTTTGATTGCGTTGAACACACGACACTGTTGCTGAAGTTGGAACACTATGGCATTCGAGGGGTATCTCTCAATTTATTAAAATCATACCTGCAGGATAGGCAGTTCAAAGTACAAGTAAATAAAGTGAACTCCCAGGGTACTAGCATATCTATGGGCGTACCACAGGGCTCAATATTAGGTCCTTTCCTGTTTTTAGTGTACATAAATGATTTACCTCATTTATTTCAACGTGAACCGGGAATGGTATTATTTGCTGATGACACATCGTTGATTTTTAAAATAAATAGACGGACAGATAATTATGACGACGTAAATAATGCTATAACGAAGGTTCATAATTGGTTTACAATTAATAATTTAGTCCTAAACGACAAAAAGACTAAATGTATACGATTCAGTTTGCCAAATGTTAAAAGTACCGAATGTGACATATTATTAAACGGTAATAAATTGGAATTTGTAAAACAAACTACTTTTCTGGGTATAACCATAGATGACAAACTACAATGGGGGCCCCATATCACATCTCTGGCAGGACGGTTGAGCTCTGCAGCATTTGCTGTCTGGAAGATCCGACAGCTAACAGATGTGGACACTGCAAGACTGGTGTACTTCAGCTACTTTCATAGCATTATGTCGTATGGCATCTTGTTGTGGGGACAGGCTGCTGACATTGAGTCTATCTTTGTCTTGCAAAAGCGTGCCATCAGAGCTATTTATAATCTAAAGCGTCGTGAGTCTCTTAGAGAAAAGTTTAGAGAGATCAATATTATGACCGTGCCATGTCAGTTTATTTATGAAAACATTATGTATGTTAGGAAAAACTTAAAAATATTCGATAAGGTGTCAGATAGACATAATTATCAAACTAGACATAGAGATAGATTATGTCAGCCATTATTTAGATTGGCAAAGGTACATAAGTCGTTCATGGGATTCTGTGTTAAATGTTATAACAAAATCCCAGGCGAAATACAACAATTAAATGAAAGAAATTTTAAATTATGTGTAAAGAAAACTTTATGTAGAAAAGCATACTACACACTGAATGATTACATTGTAGATAAAGATGCTTGGAGACATGCTGGTCCTGCTCCACAGGATAGCAAACGTACACCAAAATAAATAACGTTCCAATGGATTTTGCTTGAACGGGACTTCTTCATTTTAGTGAAATTGCAGTATATTGTATAACTATAACTTGATAAATTTGTAAATGTGAGTGCCCTGTAACCTATTATAATTGGTTAGACTAGCAGAATGTCGGTCCTTATAACAGCTTGGAGTTGTCATGCTCACTGAAAGGTCACACTGGCGGTGGCATGGGCACTGGATCGCTTAATTCCCTATAATATGGTTGAGTTGGGCGATGCTGGTGTACGTGTCATGCTCGTGAACGAGCGCCGTCAGTTGGGACTGGTCAGCTCCAGACTGTCTATTGTCCTTAAGGTTACTTTATTTTTATATTTGAATAAATATTAGTGTTACACTGTTCTCACATAATTGAACCAACTGTTTGTAAAAGGAATCTGTATGTGAAACTGATTTAAAAAGAGTAACCATGGAGTTTCTTGCTCGTTCTTCTCCATCGGAATCTACACTTTGGAACGAGCAAATAGCTTCACTAAGAGGACTGACCGACAGACTGACACTATTTTTTATTTTAAATTTTGTTTGACGTTCAAAAGTGCCTGTAAAGGTCTAATTGGAATAAATGATTTTTGACTTTTGACTTTTTTGACTTTTGATCTATCACATAAAAAAATAACATTCACCTCACAATGAGAAACATAAGAAGTTCAGCATACTATTAGAGAAAATGTTGTTCCGAACTAATTGGAATGGTTCCTTCGTGGTTTTTAACTTTCTCATGCAATGATTTACATGGTTTGGCTGGATAAGATAATAGCTTTGCGTATTTAATAATGATGAAATTGACGTAATTTCGTCAATTTACATGTATACGTACACTCGTACATGCTATAAGAAACGTAGTAAGCAATTTTGACAATATGGTTTCCTCAGGGCATCTAATGATAATACTCTTTGCTTAGGACTGTATGAAGCTTTAGCTAATAATGGACGATTTTGTAAAGTTAGACGGACAGTTGCAGAAGGTTTGGTTAATAATTATAATGCAGATTGGTAAGGGCTACGGGGAGGCCGCTTCACGCACAAGTCTTGTATGGTAGTGGCGATCAGTGGAGAGAATTTGCAGTCGGTGGAATTCTATCTAGTGAATAGAACCAGCCTGGAGCAGGTGTTCTGCTATCGCTGATTTGTTGCTCTGTCGGTTCTTGACTGTAGCGATGTGTTCTTTGAGCCTCTCAGCAATGGTCCGCTTCGTTTGCCCAATGTAGGAACTACCGCAACTGCAGTTGATCTTATAAACACCTGGGCTTTGTAGCGGCAATACATCCTTCGCCGTGCCTACCTTATCATGAAGTTTGGCCTCAGCTGTATAGATTGTCGGGATCGAATTTTTTTTAAGGACAGATCCGTACTTGTCTTTGACACCCTTGATATATGGCATGAAGGCAGGTTGTCTGCTCACGTTTGGATGTCCGGTCCTCTTCTTAATTATTATGTTTTCGGCTTACTCACGTAATTGTTTGACGAGATACTCGACTAGTTTCAAGCCATGCTAGAGGCCCATATTAATGAGCAGCATTCCGCGACACGCGACGCGGCGACTGTCGCGCTTCTTTTACCATGTCCTATAAACGTTTAAGTGAAAATAAGTTAGAACAAGAAAAATGTAAATGGCGTTATAAAAATGGCTCATTGCGGAGAATACACATACGTATACTAGACCTCTGGTCAAAGGAAACTAATGCTTTATACAGGCATCGTGGTTTGCAGCTGAAATTAATGTATGGCATTAATATTCCTTTTATGAACTAATCATAAACATGCGCCAGCAAAATGATCCCGAATTCATCGACTTGCTGAATAACTTGCTTCAGCGAATTAACTACGAGTCAACTTAAATTGCATTGTGAACGATGCAGAATACCTTTGACAGGAGACTTTCCTGAAGGAGTTTCTGTGCGAATCTTCCCAACCAAGATTATAATGATTTAATGACAGCTAAAAAATCAAATCTGCATAAAGTTTACACCGTGACTGCTGTAGACGAGTCTCATGAGGTCGCCACTTATGGAAAGACACCACCATCTAACATGATACCGAGCGATGTTAATAACTTTGGCGGATTATTATAATCTCACGTTATGCTAAGGCGAAATATGTCAGTTTCGGACAGTTTTGTAAATGGCACAATGGGTATTATAAAACAATTTAAGTGGAAGGTTTTCATTGTGGTATAGGTGCAAAGTTTTCATCGATATAAATGAATTAAGTCCAAACACGAGGTCATTACTATAAACCGTTCAGAAGTTCCCTGAACTGTCCGTAGTTTTCATCATCAGACCTTTAATGACAGTCACATCTAATCTAATTACATAGTGTTCATCAATACGAATTAATTAAGCTTAATCAACAAGGCAACTACTCCAAATAGCCAAAGAGATCCCTCGACTGTCTTCAAGCTTCATCATCAGGTCGTTATGAAATGCCTACTAAAACAATATACTACTCACTAAAAGCATTACTCGCCCCTATGATTTTTGAAAGTTCCCCTGGATTGCTTCCATAATCAGATCCTGACTTCCTTATCATGAGATCACGATGGAACAACCTCCTTTCAAACAAAAAAAAATATCGGCGAACAAACACAAAAAATCATATACATCAATCGAATTGAGAACCTCCTCCTTTTTTGAAGTTGGTTAAAAAGGAAAGGCGACGTAGCTTGCACCGCTGCCTGATTGGCTATAAACAATATTTGCATCCAGTCAATAAAATAAAAGCAGTGCAACGCTTGTCTCACTAATACATCAAATTACATAAATAATAAAGGAAAGTGGCATACATTGTTTCTGGATATATTAAAGGTATAAATAAGAAGTAGCAGATAATCATATCGAATCACCGACAGACAGACATTTTTATATTCAACCAATCTGTGTGGTGGTGTGGCGGGGGCTTGCGATACACCCCCCGCCACACCTAAGACACCAAACGAAGGAAAGAAAAAATTTTTACAAAAAAAAACCGCCTTCAAAAAAAGTCAGACGATAAAAGCTCTTACACTAAAAAGTAAAAAATAAAAATTGGAATTGCTGTAAAGAAACTTAATTTATAGGTAAACTTATTTGACATTGATATTTTGCAAATATTCAAAATTTACTTATTACTTATTTTTGGAGTCGGTGCCAGCATTTTTGTTGTTGAAACTTAATGTTAGTTAACTTTTTAATATCCGGTGCCATTTTTTGTACACAATCTTTAAACATTTTGAATGTACTTAAAAAGTGGTAGAAGTTTTGTAAGCATATATATTTTATTTAAAAAAAATGCAAATCGGGTATTTTTTTAGAGAAGTCTAATCTGTTTTCATGTCTTAATTAATATATATTTGATTATATAGCAAATAGGTATTACTTAAGTAGTTTTATAATTAAGTTAGAGGTAGTTTTTCAAGGGATTGTTGCCCATTCGTATTTCCTTGCCCAGGCTGGCACCGACTCCAAAAATAAGTAATAAGTAAATTTTGAATATTTGCAAAATATCAATAAGCTTATTAGAGCTTATTAGACAGCTCTAATAAGCTTAAACAATGCTAAGATGCATTATTTTAATTTGAAGTTACTATGCCAACCTTCCACCTTCCAGCTTCATCATCACATCAGTTCAATAGTACCTTACAGCCAAAGTGCATCTTATAACAATTCTAACAAGCCCAAACACGGCTAGGATATATTAATTAGGTACGCAGTTCCAATGCCTACCTTCCAGCTCCATCATCATCATTAGATCAGTTCGTCATTTCCAACATAATTATTTAAGATCATTGGTTTATAACGCATTTTCATAGTTGCTTAACTACATTGATTGTGATATCTATGCGAGTGTCAAGTTTCATCACCCATTTCTGATTTTCTTCACCAGTTCCACCTCATCAAATATTACTTTTTGACTGTAAATGCTTGAGTGCTCTATGAAAATATTAAAATTACTATATAGTTACCTATAATATTTGAGGAGTTCCCTCGATTTCTCATGGATCCCATCATCAAAACTCGATTTTGAAAAGAATGGGACCAATCTGGAAGCATATCCTTTCAATCATAAAAAAAAATTTGCAAATCCGTCCATAAACGAGGGAGTTCTGAGGTAACAAACATAAAAAAAAAAAAAAAAAAAATACAATCGAATTGAGAACCTCCTCCTTTTTTTGAAGTCGGTTAAAAATTTAGAAGATAAAGATCCATAACTTAAACCAAATTTTTATTTGTCTTACTTAAAGTTTCTAAACAATATGTTTTTACGGACCTTTTAGGAGTTAATATTACTTTTCACTTGAATTTTCTTTCTTTTTTTCAGCAGCGTAGACGTCGTAAGGTTTACGTACAGCGTAAACTTGTTTTATTAGCTCGCAAGTGTCTCTTATGTCTACGTCAAAGTGGACTATTCTTTCGTAGCTGCGCATCAGGCTTAGTACGGTGAAGAACTTTCCTGCTACTTTTTTCTCGTTGTAAGCCACGCCCACCGTCTTAAACATCTCGGTCTTCAAACGACGCAGTCTATTGAACAGGTACCCCAGCTTATATCGCTTATCAGCCCTGATCACTTCCCGCTGCGTCAGTGCCTTCCCCACCTCATACTTAGAGTGCAGTATAAACTGAATCAGAATACTCATCAACCGACTATTCTTGTGGTGTTCTATGACATCATTTGATAGAATATCATCTTTCTCATAAAACGAGAGCCGCCTAGTTCTATTGTGGAATTGTTGTGTAAAGTTATTATATTGTTCGTTAACGAGATTGTAGTCATAAATATCAAAAGTTTGGTTCTCAGCGCCCACATCTAGGAATTTGAATATGTCTGGCAGTTTTATATCGTAGGTTTCAACATCATAGTCAACATCGTCTTCCTTCCTTCTGGTATTTATGCCTTCATTAAATGTTCCGTTAATGAAAAGATCTTGAAAGGTTCCCAATTTTCCAAATAATGTGTGGTGGATATCATTATCTGATGAAGTGCTGAAGCTGACTGGTACATCTGATCAAATACAAAATGTCATAGAATATCATTTCAAGGACATTAGTTAGAAGATCGTATTTCAAATATAAGGAACACCAACAGGTGTTAAAAGGAGAATCCCTAATCAAAAGCTCAGCTCCGGTTCATATAAGTTGACGATAAGTTATTCTTTTAATTTATTCATCTGACATCAGTACTTACAAATCAATAGTATACAAAAACAGAATAGCACCATCATTACATTGATTACTTTCTACAAAAGTAAAAAACACGAAACTCTTTTAACAAGTTCTTCAATGATTTCTTATCTGAATCTTTAATTTAACTTGTAATAGGGTTGCAAATTGTAATTAGTTTTTAAAGTGCTAGTTAATTACAAAAAAGGTACATTAACAAAATGATTCGTTTATAGTTATGGTTGTGCTTGAAAGAAGAAAGATAGAATAAAAAGCAATCACTGCCGCCCATGGACACCAACGCAACGGACGAATAACGAGTGTGTTGCCGACCTTTTAAGGATCAGGGAATTGGAGATTTAGGGATTGAGGAGGGAGTAGATATTAAGGTTCATTCTTTCAGTCAAGAAAATGCCTTCTCAATGCGTGTTTACTTTGCTCAACTTAGCAAAGACCCAAATGTGGTAGTATATTAGCCTTTTTGTTATAATATATGTTAAATCGAGCGCCGCGAGGGCCACAGCGCGGCCGTACTACACCGTACGATCTCCTTTGAGGCAGCGAGCTTCCTAGCCGAATCCCCGCCATTGGACCTCTCTCTATTAGAGGCGCGCGGAGACAGACGAGCGAGGCGAGCGCCGTGTGCCTCGACAGGTTGAGGCACGCAGGGCAGAACTTCTCCAGACCTTAGTGGTGGAGTGGCAGACGCGCCTAGCGCAACCCATGGCGGTATCAAAGGAGTGGCTCAATAGGAGCGATGACTGATGCAGGTGCTTACCGAACATGGGTGTTTTGGGAAGTACTTGTGTCCCACAGGCCGGGAGCTGATGTCTCGTTGCTACCGTTGTGGTGATTGCCACAACGATACGGCACTACATACGTTGGTGGAGTATCAGGCATGGGCCAAGCAGCGCCGTGCTCGCCGTAAGTGCTGCGGGAAATATCTCGCTTCCGACCGTAGTGATAGTAGACACTACGGTCGGAAGCGAGATACAGGTCGGGAGCAAGTCAGGGTGGATTGGCATCGCTATCTTTTGCGAGGCCGTGATGCTTGCAAAGGAGGCGGCGAAAAGGATGAGAGAGGCTGCCTCCTCTCTCCCTTCCTGCAGGAGACGCACGAGACGTCTTAGGATTGCCAACCTTCGGCCACCGTAGGGCGCGGCCTGCGGACGACAGACGATGGAGGAACACCGGGTTAGTTTTTAGTCAGTAAGAGTCTGACAGTACCTTTCGCAAAAACAAAACATAGTAGTAAGTATATTTCATGTAAAAAAAATATCTAAAAGAACGTTTTCAGTTCCTTGGTGACACACTCTACGTTCCTGAGATCATCAGAGAATCTTAAGCTCGGTATTCGTCGCGTGCTTACCGGGCACGGCAGCTTCGGTAGGTTCCTGTTTCGGATCCAGCGGGAGGAAACGTCCGAGTGTCGTCATTGTGAGGACCACCTAGAGGATACGGTGGAGCATACGGTGGCTCGGCCTTAGTCGAGGCCATGGTGCAAAGGGTGCAAAGCGAGAGGAACTGGAACGCCGTCTCCTACTTCTGTGAAGCAGTTATGCTCGCAAAGAGGGAGGCGGGAGGGAGCAATCCTCCTCAACGAGCCAGCCGCCGCAACAAGCGACACTACGGGCGTCGGGAATCAAGGGACGATTTCCGGCCACCGTAAGCGCGGGTCTGCGGTCGGCGAGTAAGGGCAGCTCGCGTACGGCGCGTAGCGTTCCGCGCGCGCCTCAAAGAGCCAATAGACCACTGACGGGGCCCTAAAGGGCTGATGTTCAGCCGGGGTTGCGGGGTAAGCGCAATGAGGCACCGCGACCTCGGCCCAGAGCAGGAGAAGGAACCAGGGGTTTTTAGTCAGTAAGTGTCTGACACTCCCTCCTGCCCGGCCCAGGGCGGGAGAAGTCATTTGAGGATATTCCCCTCACAAAAAAAAGCTCAGTATTCGTAAGCACACCACCTCTTTTTACGACAAGTCGTTTACGATACAGGCTGCACGAATGTGGAACGCTTTACCTGTGGAAGTGCGTCGTGCTCAGACATTATGTCATAAACTGACATAATGTCCTGTAAGTGTCCTCAAAGACCTGTAAGAGAGTATTGTCTAGCGCTATAGACTTCTGTTTCACACATTCACTTACTTATACATATTTCTTTAGCTTAAATAATTCGTATCTTTTTTATGTAGTACTTGTTTTAACTGTACACTACACTACCCATGGCCAAGTTTCTTTTATACATTTCCATCGAAAGTTTGTCTGGAAGAAATCACCTTATGTGATAAGACCGCCCATTGTAATCATAACATTTGTTCATAGTATGCAATGTATTGCTACTTGGTGTATGTGTGCAATGAAGTATATAGTATATAGTAGAGATGAAAAATAAAAGAAGGTGACAGCAGCCCGTGGCAAAGGGGTTGCAGCATAAGTAGTGTGTTTATATATTTCAGGGGCACAACAAGCTAATAATGAGAAGAAAGGAAGGCGTACTATGAAATAGATATAGGAAGTATTAATTAGTTAATACAAGAGTAGATAGTAGATACGGTATTTATTTTAAACTAGTGTTGCCCAAATTCAGTATTGGTCTTGCAGTCTTGGTCTTGTTCTTGCGTTTTTGCAAGACCAAGACCAAGAACAAGACCGCGTATTTTTAGCAAGACCAAGACCAAGACTGACCGTGCAAGACTTGAGCAAGAACAAGACATAGCCTGCAAGACTCTTGCGTCTTGCAGCTACGACTTAGCGCTATTTCACTGAGTAGTTAGGTGTAACAGTTCGGTGTATAGGTAGGTACGCTTTGGAATTCTATGAGACGCAAAAAACTGTATCAAAGAATATGAAAAACTGGACCTATGCGCATTACGACAAATACCATAAACACAGCGAATAAAAAAATATCTATTAATATCAAACTGAGTGCATGCATAGTTATGTTTTAACCATCGTCACTTTGATAATGCGGCATCAAAGGTTTTGTTCTTACTTCTCAAAGAAATTTGCCGCTTTTCGGAAGTTACATGGTTATGATACACGCGCCGGCGGCTTCTTTTGAAATCTAAAACAATCGTTGCCGCCACGCCGAAATCATAACATTTGACACTATTTGATTGCCGCCATAGGGCGTAGGTATACTCATGGAAAATAATTTCGAATTTCAAGTGTACCTACAGGTGTCCCAAAGAATAAATAAGTTTCAGAGTGTTTAGAATGAAAATGAATATATTATACTGATCACGCAAGTAGTATTATGATTAGGATAAAATGGTAAGGATAGGCAGTAAATGTCATATTAATTCATTCTAGTAAGTATATATTATAATACTGATAACTTATATGGTTTTAAACTAATTACTTAGGTACTATTATTGTACATTTAGTCATTGTATTTCTTAAGTTTTTACAAGAAAAAATAGCAAGAAAGTGTTAAAATATCACCCGTTTAATAAATATTGTAGCCACTTTTAAATATAGGTACTTAAAACTGCTGAGAGGTTATTTTCTAAAGCATCATTAGTAATTAGAAAACATAGAAATAGGTTAAGTATTGAGTCAGCCAGATGGTTGCTTTGTATTAATTCTTGGTCAAAAAAATTGATATAAAGTATCATAACCTAATGATAAAGCTGTTGATTTGTGTTGTATTTTATTTTTTATTCAAATAACTGATAAATCGTAAAACTCTTTTATTAAAATTTCTTATAAGTTGAGGGTTCACTCTTTCTAGTAGGAACGGTATTGTTCTTTAAAATACACTCAAGTTATTGTAATTAATTTGTTTCTTTAATTGTTTTAGCAAATGTAAGCTGATTTATAATCACAAATGTTTATTAAGAAACAGTTACTTCCTTGGAAAACGACATATAGGTCAATTGATTTTTCGAATTTCTTATCATATCTTCAGTTATTTATTAATCTGCTTGATCGTTACTATGGCTATGTTAATTCAAGCTCACAATGTTCCAATTCTAATACGTTTTTCTAAGATTTAAAGTAAACTTTAATAAATAGTAGGTAATAGACTAATAGGTAATTGCAAGACTTGCAAGACTCTTGCTGCAAGACAAAGACTGGGAGCGCAAGACCAAGACCAAGACCAAGACCAGGTGTATGGGCGCAAGACCAAGACCAGGTGTATTGGCGCAAGACCGAGACCAAGACTGGCTAAGTCTCGTCTTGTTCTTGCATTTGGGCAACACTAATTTTAAACTAGCTACTCTCACATGGTTTCACCCGCTACTCGGCTTCTACAGATCATAGCGTATTTTTTTTATATAGCCTAAAACCTTTCTTTCTAAATTTTTTTTTTGAATTCGAACCAGTAATTCTTGACATTAGCGCGTTCAAAGAAAAAAACAAACTCTACAGCTTTATAATCCTTGTATATAAAAATGGATCGCAAAATGTGTTGGTAAGCGCATAACTCAACAACGTCTGGACCAATTTTGCTATTTTTTTTTTTTTTTGTTAGAATATTAATTATAATATAATATAGGAAAAAGTGACACTTAGATAGCGAGTCCGGAACGGGCCGCTAGTATTAGTATAGATTATTTTTAGTTATGGCAAGTTGATACTATGTATGTCTATACATTAAAGTTGGATCGGGTAATCTTGACTGCACGGTTGGAGCGATGGCTGGACAACTGGTTGCCGCGCATCGTGCCACGGCTTCGATTTCCGCACGGAACAACTCTTTGATCCACAAATTGTTGTTCCGGGTCTGGGTGTGATGTGTATGTGTACCTATTTGTTTGTAAACCACGACCCAGGAGAAAATCTTAGTGTGTAGCGACGTTTTTGTTTTCTTTTTTAAACTTTTTTTAACCACAGTGTTGTGTTTCGCCGTGTGAGTGAGGTTACCGGAGGTTTCCCAATCCCTCCCCAGTTCCTAAATCTCCAAATCCCTAATCCCTAAAAGGTCGGCAACGCACTCGTAACTCCTCCGTTGCGGGTGTCCATGGGCGGCGCTGATTGCTTACCATCAGGTAATCCGTCTGCTCGTTTGCCGACCTATTACATACAAAAAAAAAACTTTGTTGTTATTATATTTTATATATTTCTCTACTTACAAATTATTTGGCTCATACTTATTGATTAACAGCCTTACTACTTGAGATTTATACACATGTTATTTATTATTTCTTCTTCATACAAAACAGTCTAAATGGCGGTCTTAATGCCTTAAGGCATTCTCTAACAGTCAACCATAGGGACACACACATAGTCCTAGAACAAATGAGAGGAGAAAGAAAATGGAAGAAACAAGGTTCTTAACACACAAATAAATAAATTCGCATAAATAGGGTAATGAATACAATAAATAATACATATTAGGCATGGATATATTAAAATATAAGTACATATTATAATATATAGATAGATAGATATATGTATGAATATGATAGAAATATACATACATATATAATATTAAATAGATTGGAAAAAAAATGTTATAACAGAGGTATAGCAGATTCATTACGTATTATCTACATAAAATAAAATGAAAGACAGTAATTTAAAATCCAAACTAATATTATAAACGCGAAAGTAACTCTGTCTGTCTGTATTTTCTTCACGACTAAACTACTGAACCTATTTGTGTGTAATTTGGTACAGACATAGTTTGAACTCGAGAAAGGACATAGTTTTTAATATTTAGGAAGTCGCTATTCCACGCGAACAAATCGCGAGCAAAAGCTAGTCTATACTAATATTATAAAGAGGTAAAATTTGTAAGTTTGTATGTTTGTACGTTTGTAAGTTTGTATGTAGGTGGTAATCTTTGGAACCGCTGGTCGCATTGCCAAAATTCTTTGACTGATAGATAGCTACAATGTACCTGAGTGCTATAGGCATAAAACATCACGCTACGTTCATATGGAGCTGAGCAGCGGGTGAAACCACGCGAGAGTAGCTAGTGATGCATAAAGAAACTTTGTAAAGACAAGCATATTTCAAGCTCAATTATTATATTGAGGATAATTTTGCTTGGATACATGCTTGTCCCGCCACAGTACAATACCTACACACGTACACACACACACGAAAATAAATAATGGTTCTTCGATTTTTGCTTGACCCTGAACAACAAAAATTCATTAAAATTGTAATCATTCACTTATGTTGTCGTACTTGATTCATAATTTCCTTTATAATTTTAAGTAAAAACGTAAAAATTTGCGATATAAGTAGGCATAGTACATGCTGTGTCGTAAATTGTAAATACAATGGAAAACACAGTTCGTGCAAGTTTTATTCGTTTTCAACATCAAAGTGGACATTACAGCCTCAGCAGCAAAGACAAAAATGGATAGCTGCTGTGAAGAGAATTAAAATTCAAATCCCGTACTTATTATAATATCCATATTTTTCACGAGGATGGAAATCGCTAGGTATAATATACAAACTCACTTTTTACACAATTTTTTTCATTTTCGTTGAAAAACTAGTCGAAAATCAATATCATATCATCTAGTTGACATGATTTGACAGATGACAAGTCCTGAATAGTTGCGGCCACTAGGGGCGCTGTCATCGCGCACGCAACGAATAGATTGGTTAGGCTAGCAGAATGTCGGTACTCATGTCATCTTAGAGTTGTCATGCTCACACAAAGGTCTCATTGGCGGTGGCACGGGCGCTGGACCGCTCAATTCCCTATAAGATGGTTAAGTTGAGCGATGCTGGTTTACGAGTCATGTTCGTAAATAGGCGCTGTCAATTGGGGCTGGTCAACTCCGGACTCTATTGTCCCCATCCTCAAGGTATTATGTTTCTCTCAATAAATATTAGTTTTACACTGTTCTTACATAATCGAAACAACTTCATAGCATACCAAAGAATCTGTATATAAAATTGATTTAAAAAGTGTAACCACGAAGTTTCTTGCTGGTCCTCCTTCATCGGAATCTACACTTTGGAACAAGCAAATAGCTTCACTAAGAGGACTCACCGACAGTCTGGCAATTTTTATCTTTAAGTTTTATTTAACGTTCAAAAGTGCCTGCAAACGATTTTGATTTCTTTAACAACGCTTGCACGGAAGTATCCACATAGGGCCAAGGATCGCACGATCCCCGAAAACAACCCCAAAAAGGAGGCGTTTGCCCTTAATGTTACTAAAATATGTCGACGATACATTGCGTATTAGTACCTACCTAGTGGTGCTTCATTATTTCAATGTTTAACGATTTTCACTATCATTAATTAACAATTTGCAGTAAACCAAAGAAACATTTTTTATGAGCATTCACAAATCTATTACTAATATTTTCTGTTCTTTGGAAGAATTCACATAATTAACATGAAGTTAATTTTTCTCTTATGTAAGTTAAATATTTTATTATTTTTTATGGGCAACTGGCTGCCGTGCAACGTGTCGCGGGTTCGATTCCCGCACGGAACAACTCTTTGTGTGATCCACAAATTGTTGTTCCGGGTCTGGGTGTCATATGTTTGTGAAATTGTATGTTTGTAACCGCACCCACGACACAGGAAAAAATCATAAGGATTTTTTTAAAACCCACCTATTTTTTTAAAAAAGGGACAAAAATGGAAAGAGATAATAAACAAAATAGGTACTGTTTGACCCGACTAAGGCCAGCAGTTTAAAATGTTAAACGACACGAGTGCTACAAAACTACGAATTGTAATTATTTGTGTTCGATTTATGAATATGTATGCGTTACAGTTTCCAGAATAGTAACAAAATTACCCACAATATGTCATTATCAAAATAAATAAAAATCAGTTTCCGATGTATTTTATCCGTATTACCCATTTAGATAAAACATTTTCGTTGTGTTTGCAATTGTTAAGACAAGGCTTGCATAAAAGAATTGTTTCCAAATACAAAATAGGTACTTATTACAAATAAAATATCATTATGTTTTTTTTTAACAATGTTTATTAGTTTTTTTTTTGTGAGGGGAAAATCATCAAAAGACTTCTCCCGCCCAGGGCCGGGCAGGAGGGAGTGTCAGACTCTTACTGACTAAAAACCCCCCTGTTCCTTCTCCTGCTCTGTGCCGAGGTCGCGGTACCTCATTGCGCTTACCCCGCAACCCCGGCTGAACATCAGCCCTAAAGTTAGTTAGTGTACAGAATTAAAGTCTAAATACTTATAGGTAATTAGCAGCCTTTACTTTCCACTACTTAATTTCTTGTAACATTGGAACTAAGCAATTTCATGGTGGTAAAGTTTGTAGCATGTCCATCAAAACATAACATCATTTTGTTGTGATTCATGTCTCCGGTCATCTCCGGTCAAATGATTGTTCAAAATGTACATACAAACATCAAAAAGTACACCAACCCAAAAATTGAGACAAACAAACATTATTTAATATAAGTATAAATCGACAATCCTTTTTCTTATACACATTACTCAACTAAAGGGTAACACCCGGTTTCTGAAAGGCTTGTCAACTCTAAAATTAACTTATCTCGTTCCCGCCCATGGACACCCGAAGGAGTAAAGAGTGCGTTGCCGGCCTTTAAGGGATAATGGTTTTGGATAATTAAGAATTGGGAAGTGGTGGGGCAAGGGGGAGGGATTGGACCTCCGGTAACCTGAATCACACGGCGAAACACAACGCTGTGGTGGATTCACGCCTGTAAAAGAACACGAATGAACACGAACTCCTCTCCCTCGCAAGGCCAAATTCCTCAATCTTCAAATCCTTAAAGGCCAAAAGGCGGGCAATGCACTTGTGAGTTCTAAGTGTTACTGGTGCCCACGTGCCGCTTGCTTACCAAGACAATGTTGTAATTGAAATTTGCTGCTTATAATTGTTTAATGATAATATATTACTTCCAGACATTACGCACATTGGTACTCACGCAACTGAAACCCAACTACCCCGTGATATCAACACAATGCACGAATTCGACATTGGTATTGAAGAATTCCCAAAACTTAGCGACATACTCCCAACACTCACGAAAAAAACATCATTAGATTACGAAAATATGCCAGATACAATGGTAAAAAACCTAACAATTGACTTAGATAAAATAAACATCAAAAAGTTTAAAAATAAAATCACCAAAATCGCAGACTTTATGGGCAAAAACGACCCCGTACTTAAAGCATCTAGAAGACAAGCTAACATAAAGAAAACTGATGAAAAAAAGTTTAAAAAGGCATACACTTATTTGGTGAGACGGAAGATCCTAGATTTAATGCTTCAAACTATATACATGGCGCGGCACAAAGTAAAACCTCTCGAATCCAACCAATACTTCACCAACAAAGGAACAAGTTACCGGGTCGCATTTTTGTATCAGCGCCTTAAACTTATTCACGGCACCATGATGAAGCGTTTTCAAGATATAACAGTTACGTCGTCGTTACGCTATACAAAACACACGGGTTTCTTTGATATAATATTTGGAAAGGGAAGTAAAGATTACTGCTTACATTATAGAAAAGCTTTAGCAGACCATGCGTCCATCATTCAGTTACACGTGCTATTCGACAATATCTTTAAGGTATTAGGAAAATTGCACGATTTAAACAAAAAAATAGGAAAGCGTCTGGATGAGTAAAGAAAGGAATTGCATCATCAATATCAAAGCGGTAACAATGTACTATGTATTTTTTTAATATAGCAAACGTTTGCTTAACGAACCTTTGATTATTCTTTTATTTACATCAGTTTATTGATCAAAAATAGATGTTGACCCGGCGAACTTCGTACTGCCTTTAATACACTACGGTGCCCGCATGGTTTGTTGATAGGTAACAAGCAACCTAGGTCGACCTCAACCTAACTTTTGGAATGTATTATCGTGGTGGCAAGGAGGTTAAGGCGCCCGTTTCTCATGCATGTGGGTGCGGGTACGCCACCTGGCAAGTACCAATGTGGCTGATTATTCGGACGCCACTGGACGGTAAAGGAAAACATTGAGAGGAAACCTGGACTTACAATTTCTAATTATAAGTTTGAAATCGCCAATCCCCCTTCAGCAAACGTGGTGACGCAATAAAAAAAATTAAAAATGCATCTTTGACCTTCAATATCTCGAGAACCCATAAAGTCCCAGCTATGGTCTTAAAGAAAAAATGATCCAAATAATGGGTAGAATACGTGGCTTTCGGCTTCGTTAAGTGTCTTTTTACACCCTGTAAAAGAAAACCATAGATGATGAACATCAATGGTTTTCTTTTGAAAAGTAATTGTTTTCAGTAGAAAATGTGATAAAAAATTGTAGATTCCGTTATTTTATTGAGGTTCGTTTCGTCATTTCTTATCTGAGTAGTCTCATAAAAAAGCGGCATCATCTAGATTTTTTATATAATATTGACCTGTTTTGTTTTTTTTGTTATTGATTTATTGTTTTGATATTGAATCTTTGTTTTATTCACTATAGATAATTTTGAGTTCATCCAGAATTCACTACTATCCCAAGGTATGGAGTGGACCTAAATAGGGAAACGTGTCCACTGAATTCAGCTCATACAGACCTTAGTCTTACTTACTGTTAATATGAAACTTTTTGAAAAAATCTCTTTAGAATCAAACCAATTCTCTATATAAGTAAAATATTACTCCTAACCATCTGTTTGGACTAAATCAGGGGTTTCGTGTAGTGGACAAGATTTATCTTGTTTTGTATTCACTCATTGTGCTTTGTAAGTTTTGACTGCACGGTTGGCGCGGTGGCCTGGCAACTGGCTGACGCGCAACGTGTCGCGGGTTCGATTCCCGCACGGAACAACTCTTTGTGTGATCCACAGATTGTTGTTCCGGGTCTGGCTGTCATAGTGTGGGGCAACGCTTTAAAAAAAAAGTGCGTTGTTGTACAAATTACAAATACCAATTATTCTAATCACTATTAATTTAATCGGCGTAAAACTTTACTCTTGGCACTCTTATCGCAAACATTTAATTAATTAAAGAAGAATATCTAATTACGTACCTAAACTTATTTCACTCGTGATTATTACTTTTTTACTGTTAGCAATAAAACCATTTTAATTTATTTTGTAATTATTTGAAGTTTGTATAAATTACCTTTTAATTTTAAATGGGTACAGTGTTGCTGTTCTTTTATATCATTATTGCTTTATCTTGTAAGTATACCTTCAGATCCGTTAAAATATAATGTACTACTTACATACCTAAATGGCAACGTAATATAACACTATAGGCTCTGAGGCCGCCATCGATTGCTTCGCCTCAGCCCAAGCAGAGCACACCGTCACCACCTTGTCCTGTGTGTCCTTACAGTGATGACACCCTTCCGTTTCCTTCCGTTGAATCCGAAACTGGTATTTTCCGTTGAAGGTGACGCCATCCTGGCACCTCTCTAGCCTTTCAAAGAGGGTCTTACTGCTGTTAACAGCGTGCCCAACCCTCGGTTGAGACAGTAATTCTGCTATGAGGTCAAACTGGATGTCGACATGCCACGTGACGATGTGGCGCAGCTGTCTTAGCGTGCAGATTGATAACGCTAGCAATTGCCCCGATCTTATTGGAAATTGTATCACATCTACGCACTAACAGTGGGACCATGACCCTTTGGATCGGGGCCAGCGCACGAGCTAGCCGACGCCTTTAATTTGACGCGAACATAGAGGACCATATTAATATGACCATAGATTGTTCGATCCACAAATACAACTTTAAGCAGGATGCGTTTGACCGCTTAGGTTGGGTTTTGCTTGAGCGTAGTCCCTATCGGTTCCAAGTTGAAAGCCAAACGTATGAAATGTGTAAATAAAGTATACTTGTATAACATATAAGCCATTCGTAAATGTGTTGTTCTGAGTCTGAGTGTAATGTTATGTATGTAAATGCATCCTTGACTGGACAACATCTTAATGTGGATTTTAGAAATTGGGAATTTTGAAAAAAGGTACCTATATAAACAAATCTTATAAAGACAGTAAATGTATATTTTTTCAACAGATATACACTTTTCAAAATGTGTGATGATGACACGAGGAAAGCCACTGCCGCAAGCCGAAATTCTCGACCAATTATTAACAAAATTCTTGGGACACAGCTACAGTGATAATACTGTCGGTAACATCATCTTAGGAAAATCTGTTGGAAACAAACACGTAGATCCGACTAGTGAGAATCTCGACATTAATGTGCTAGACGTGTATAGTGCCAGAAAAATTATAAGCTTTGCAAAGCAGAAACATGAAGAGCGTACAATCGCTGAACTCACACGTCGTCAAAAAAACTTTAGACGTTTTCATAAGGCATTAGTCGACACAAATCCCAATAACACATACATCACCGACAAAGCCATGCACTTCTTGCAGCAAAGCATTTACGCTACATTGGCAAGAATGAACGTAACATATCCGTTCCAAAAGAAATACCATAATTATCTTAGCTACCAAATATCTGTTCTGTACGGTTCTGCTTTAGCCACTATAGCCAAAATGGAGAGTCTTTTGGCACAAATGAAAACTTTTACTCAGAAGACGCATTTCATATGGTTTCTTTTTATATATGAGAAGATACTGACTTGCAATATTGACATAACTAACATTGTTCAGAGGATATTTATATTGCATGAGGAATATATAATGAACAGAGGTCCGAAGAAAGGGGCGAATGATAATGCGAAAGCAGCATCACCTTCACCACCTTCTGATTTTGATGAAGAAGCTATGCATCCTCCATCACATAAGCGTGGATAATTCTTACAATATACCGTCATAAAAAAGTAAACACATTTGTATTTTTGTCTATTTCTGTCTGTTAATGTATTTTTAAAGTTTAACGATCGATTGTTGGGATGAATCTCTAACTGAGTACTGCCTCATGTGATCGGGGTTGAGAGAAGGCTCAAAGAGCCAATAGACCACCACGGACGGGGCCCTATAAGGCTGATGTTCAGCCGGGGTCGGGGTTTAGCGCAATGAGTCACCGCGGCCTCGACCCGGAGCAGGAGAAGGAACAGGGGGGTTTTTAGTCAGTAAGAGTCTGTCACTCACTCTCTCTCTCTCTCTCTCTCTCTTGTCTTACCCTGGGCGGGAAAAGTCATTTGATGATTTTACCCTGACATAAAAGGGGGGGCTGAGAGAAACACACTGTTCGCTGTTCGTTCCTTGCATGCCTCACGCTCTCAAACGTTTTTGCTTACCTGGCACTCTGCCATACAATTTATTTTTTATGAAGGGAAAATCATCACATGACTTCTCCCGCCCAGTGTTGGACGGGAGGGAGAGTCAATCTCCTGCTTTAGCCCGAGGTCGCGGTGAGTTATTGCGCTTGCCCCGCAACTAATGTGGTAATCTATTGGCTCTTTGAGGCGCGCGCAGAAGGCCGTTGCTCAGCAGTAGGCGGATGATGATGGTTATCACCTAGGCACATTGAGGCCGATAATGATGATGATGAGATACAACAAAAGTGTGGGAGAGCCATGCTTCAGTACGAATGGGTCGACTCGACTGGAGTGATAAATATTACGGCCTTACAGAAAACAACCACAGCGTTGTTTCGCCATGTGATTGAGGTTACCGGAGACCCAATCCTTCCCCACTCACACACACACATCCCTTGCGGGGTAAGCGCAATGAGGCACCGCGACCTCGGCCCAGAGCAGGAGAAGTAACAGGGGGGGTTTTTAGTCAGTAAGAGTCTGACACTCCCTCCCGCCCTGGGCGGGAGAAGTCATTTGATGATTTTCCCCTCACAAAAAAACCCCCAATCCCTTCCGAAACCCAAAACCTCCAAATTCCTAATCACTACGGGTATCCATGGGCGGCGCTGATTGCTTACAATCAGGTTATCCGTTTGCTCGTTTGCCGGCCCATACCGGCGTTTGATAAAAAAACCTCGAAAATTCCTCGAGCGTACCTATTGAGTTTGAGCATAAATCACCACGCCCACTCAATGCGGATTGGCGATTTCAAACTTATAATTAGAGATTATAAGACCAGGTTTCCTCACGATGTTTACCTTAACCGTATGTCAGTGGTGTCAAAATAATCTTAGAAAGTACATATTATAACTCGGAAAGAGTCACATTGGTACTTTCCAGGTTTCGAACCCTTCTCATGCATGAGAAGCGGCCTTCACTTCCGGTGATAAGGTTTTGAGAAATAATCACCACGCTTGCTCGAGACCTTATGCAACAATATCTACAATGGATATATGCAACGATTCATTTTGATTGAACGAATGTGCAAACTGATACCAAAAAACCCAACATCTTTCAAAAAAGTTGGAGTATTATTTTCACCTGATTCGTGAGTACATTTTTAACACACACCCTTACATAGGTACATCACATTCGGACTGAAAACAAAAATATTTTATGTGGATTACCCAAACGAGTTGTTTCTTTCGAGAATCGAAGCGCTAACCGGACAGTCAATAAATAAAATATTATTTTCAGTTTGCTATCTATAAAGAAAACTGAATTTGCTTTTGGGTGGGCATCATTGACCTTGGGCTACCCAGTGAGTTTCAAGTATCAAAAATTGTTGTTGAATTAACCTCAAGTATTAAAAATACATCAAAAGTTACGTATTTGTAGACGGTACAGGCACCGTTGTGGTATTAGGTCTATACAAAGTTATATCATCATCATCATCATCATCATCATCAGGACGAAAGCCTCCCTCTTAATCCTCCACGTCGAACGACAAGTTGCCACCTGCATCCATTGGCGCCCCGCGAATCTGAAGACGTCGTCAGTCTACCTAGAGGAGACCTGCCCACGCTACGTTTTCCGGTCCTTGGTCGCCATTCTAGTACTTTTCGGGCCCATCGGCCGTCCACCAAAGTAATACAATTTATAGACAATGACGTCAAAGGAAAGGATGAAAACATTCACTATATATACTAATTTCGTTTTATTAACATGTAAAAAAAAACTAGGACAAAAATCCTTGACTTAATAGTGATTAAAACAAATCCTTTTATTTAATCGACACTACAAATACATTATGTTTTTTTTATCTACTCTAAAGGAAGAACGATGAGGCCGGAGAGCGTTTAAATTGCACAGGGAATATTTGAAAATAATCTCAATTGTAACAACAATTAGCGTCATTTTAGCTTGTACTGATACAACTAGCTACTTACAATTATCACATTGTTACAAATGGCCTTCTAATTAATGTATATTTACTCGAAGAGCCAATGACTGGCTTAGTAATTATTAATAATGCGAAATATTCGCTTTAAGCTTAAACTATAATGAATTAAGCATAATTTTATACAAGTTATTAAAATGCCATTTTATACTGTAGCGTAGCAAATACTCTGTGTTCTAATTTCAGGAATTTGGCAGACGAGAAACAGTGGTATCTATCACTTAATGTCAATCAATTAACGTAACGATACGACCAACTGGGCCATTCAAGTGATGACTGCCATTAAGTTTTTGTCACAGATAATAACAAAGCGTCCCATCTGCAAATTCTCTTAATTCATTAAACATGTTTAAAATTAAAACAATTAGGTAAGTATACATACAAAATTGTGACAAAACTCGACTACATAAGATTTATTATTCAATGACCAAACCATTCAAAACTGTAAACCTAAAGTTATAGATAGTTTCTTTTTTTCTATCCTCTTCTTGCAAGCAGAGCGAGAAGGGGACAGAGATGTTCTAAGTCAAATTGAGATTTGGATCTAAAAATGTCTTCTTTAGATTTGTCGATGACAGTAAAACTAGTTTATTAATATATTAACAACAGGTAATACAGGACAAAAACAGTTACATAACGAACAAATACTGAATAGCTACTCAATTTTAAATCGATTTTTATTTTTCGAAAATTAAAAAAACTTAATAATATTGAGAAAACCTCTTTTGTTCATGAACAGCGTGAAGTTTCGCAGCCAGCTGTTACTTTTCTTAGTTAAAGTTCACGTGAGGAAGTAGGTTTTCAATAAATATATAGTAATAGTAATTAGTATCTAATAATATTATTAACAGGTAAAATTTGTAAGTTTATATGTAGGGGGTAATGTTTAGAACCGCTGGTCGGATTGCCAAAATTCTTTCACTGATATAGAGCTACAACGTTCCCGAGTACTATAGGCTACATAACATCATGCTACGATTAAATGGATCCGAGCAGTGGGTGAAACCGAGCGAGAGTAGTTAGTATTAGGTATATATTATGTGTCACGATAGTAACTATACAAAAATCATCATCATAAACTGCGCGCAGTGCCAACTGCTGTTTTCATTATAAATATTTTGTACTTACTTCAATATCACCCTACTGGTAGTGGCTTCGCCCCTTTTAAAAGGGTAGAAAGTAGCTTGTGTTACTCCAGACTATCCATCTCAGTGCCAAATCACATTCAAATCAGTAGTTTTTACGAGTAACAAACATTCATCCATACATACATAAGTGTGGCAGAGCCATGCTCCTGCATGACCGGAGTAATACCACGGCCTCACAGAAAACCGGCGTGAAATAACCACAGCGTTGTGTTTCGCCGTGTGAGTGAGGTTCACGGAGGCCCAATCCTTCCCTCCCCTAATCCCTAAATCTCCAAATCACTAATCCCTAAAAGGTTGGCAACGCACTTGTAACGCCTCCGTTGCGGGTGTCCATGGTCGGCGCTGATTGCTTACCATCAGTTAATACGTCTGCTCGTTTGCCGACCTATTACATAAAAAAAATACAAACCCCCGTTAATATAATTAGAAGGGTAAACTGTTGTCACACGTCTCTCGTCAGTTTCAGGCTGGCTTCAGCAACAGTATTAGATATTTTATATCCTATCTTTGAATTATAAGATCTAGGTCTTAAATAAACATACCTCTTTTATTTTCCTTCAAACTTTTCAGCTTTGTAATATTAAGTAGTAATAAAGGTTGTAAATATCATTAAGATATACTTACTTAAAATTGAGTTGCTTTAAAGTATTTAAACATACTAAAATCAAGTACCTAATTACACTTTAATTTACATTAATTAAATTAGTTTTTTGATTAAATACTAATGGAATAATACACACTGAAACAATATACAATAAGTACAAGAAGAACTAACAATTCAACAATTTACAACGAAATTAAATGTTGATTTAAAAAATCTACATTTCTGAAAAGCAAGTCAATTTGATTTTTACCACAATGGAAATATGGAGCGAACTACGTTGAAAGTGGAACGAATGTAGCGTCAATGAAATGGGACTATGGCAGTTTACATAACATTAACGCGATACAAACGTTACCTCTTTTAGCCTTCTGATTGGTTGATTCATTTAGAACAGACCAATCGGAGCGCGGAACGACATAAACGTGTCGATTCCTTAACGTAAAGCTATCCCTAGACTTTCTGATTGGTTGATTAACTTGACGCAGGACCTTCTTGCTAATTTCATTTCGAAATCCATTGTCACTTACGGACAGTTTTCTTGAGCCCATCAGAGATTAAGCTCATATTTTGACCTACATTTCAAAAATTTATGTTAGATAACCTCCGCTAGTACTAAGCTTAGATCTCTAAATAACAAAAAAACTCGCGGCCAATAATTGACTTATTTATATAATAACTAATAAGTATATAAAGCTAGAGCTATTCACAAATAAATAAATTATTATTCTATTTAACAATGAAGGATGAATATCTAACCTCAAACTGGGGAGTGAGGGCTAATTAAACTCACCAGATGGCGCTTACTGTTGGAGCTGTCAAATATTGACTGACGAATGTTTTAATAGCAGATAATAGGGATGATGACTTTTTTATTCGAGTATATTAATTTAAGGGTTGATATGTTATCTGAGGAATAAAATTAATGATGTCCCTGTCTTATACAAACATTCTGACGCGACAGCATCATAATTATTTTCCAAATAAGTTTTATCTAACCATTGATTGACATTAGCCCTAAAACACGTCACGATTTAGCACTTTTTATGACTGACTGCACACACACAGGTGGCGCGGTGCCGCGGTGGCTGGGCAACTGGCTGCCGCGCAACGTTTCGCGGTTTCAATTTCCGCACGAAACAAGTAACAACTCGCTGTGTGGTGTAATGTGTATAAGAAATACTGGGAACGTTTTATTAAAAAAAATCTTTTTTTCCAAGTATTGTTTTCGTACAATATCATCATCCCTAAAGGATAAGCAAACGTCATCTGGCGTCACATTAGCCCTCATCACAAATAAATCATAACAATAGACAAGCATAGATAGATTTGTACCATAAAATAAAAAACGTTAAAACGGGGTGAATAGACACAGAAAAGGGGTAACTAGATACAAGGAAAAACGCCGACATCTATTTACCCCTTTCGTGTTTCTATTTACCCCGTTTAACGGTACATGTCTTTGACTGATAAAATGCATTAAAATTTGATCAAACGTTACATGCCTGTTTCTTCATTAAACATTAAGAAAATTTCCTTCAGCAAAGAAATTAATATTGTCCATAGTAGGACATTGACCTGTATATAGCTCGCTAGTGAACTTGATCATTGGCTTTCCACAATCGACTATTGTCAGCCACTGAGATAGGTATCTTAAACCGTCAATCTAACTTTTGGAAGGGTGCCCGGCACAGTTGTGCAGGATGTATTTTATATTATTGTAGTTTGGAGGTAACTACCTCCTCAGAAAACCAGTGTGAAACAACCACAGCGTTGTGTTTCGTCGTGTCAGTGAGGTTAATGGAGGCCCAGTCCCTCCCCTCCCAAATCCCCAAAAGGTCGGCAACGTATTTGTAACTTTTCCGTTGTTGCGGATATCAGGCCAGGTCACGTATGCTCGTCCTATCACATAAAAAAAATGTTTCGATCCATGCCGACTAATGGTTACAAAAGAAATGGCTTCATTGAAACCATATAATTTACAATAACCATAGCTCCCTGTACTGACTCAATCTTTATTTTTTTACCTGGAACGCAACATACATAAACATATATGTACAGTCAGCTGCAGAGAAATGGACCCTGAAGTACAAATATGTATGCCAGTATGCAGCTATCTGCATAGGGGATCCGTTTCTCTGCAGCTGACTGTACATGCGGTTTTTTTTTCAGCTATACTCCATCCTTCATTTCGGAAACCTTGTTAAACTTAGGATAGGTACTTTGATATATATCTATATCAATGCCACTTTGTTATGGCATCACGCGTAAACGGCTGGATTGATTTTAATAATTCTCTTCATGCTGTGCTGTGTTTGTTAAGGTGAAGAAGAAAGTTTGCCGGAGGTTGTGTTCTTTGAAGAGAGCCTGAGTGTCTTCAAGGCACGAGTATTACCATAGGTGGTAGACGTGCTCTATCGTAGATCACATCATCCAAATGTCCATCCGGTAACCTCACTCACACGACGGAACACAACGCTGTGATTGTTTCACCTCGGTTTTCTGTGAGGCCGTGGTATCACTCCGGTCAAGTCGACCCATTCGTGCCGAAGCTTGGCTCTCACACGCTTCCTTAGCAAAAAGAAAATGTTCGATCAAAGAAACTTCGGAAAATCCTTAAACTAATGAATAAACAGGCCAAATACCTTTGTCGTTACTATTCATCCTACACAAAATCACTATATTACAATTTCATATTACAGTCCTATCAGCAGTTTTAAGTTTCTGTTTTCACTTAGTTCCGAAGCAGGCTTTATAATAATATAAACATTTGTTATTATTTCAGCATACGTTTAATTAATGGCCGAAACTAAGAAACGATCTCAAACAAAAATATATATATATGATATTTATCGACATTTATTTTTCTCCATTGGACATTAAGTATATATAGACGATAGACTTACCGACTATTTGTCTTTTTTTAATACATTTTTCCATTCAGTTGTTTGAAGTAAGATCGGTAATTAGTTTTGGCCGTAAGTATATCAAAATGGCCGCTGAAATTCCACAAAAGTAACAAAAAATCTGTCATTTGACATATGTTCGTTAATATAGTGAGACCATTAGTGTACTCTAGGAATGCTAGCGGCTAGACGGGGAGGGGGGAGGGCGAGGAGAGGGGGTAAATGGTCTGCTCTCTGTCAGTGCGCCGTCAACGCTCGTAGCGACATGTAGCGTTTTTTGTATCTTTCCTTTTTTGTATGTTTTTAACTTTCCTTAGAAAATATTTTATGATTCGAAATTATAAGTTTAGTTCTTATTTATCAGCTGCATATTTTTAGTAAAATATGATTATATTTGGGTTACAATTTAATCAACTAAGTAAGTATAATACAGAAAGATAGCCTCCGATCATACTCCCGCCACAAGATCTGTCCGACAAGATCGATCTCATCTGAACTTTTTTTCTTCGCCTGCCACCTCCCCGGCGGATACCTCAGAGTGCACAGCACTAATGGTGACACTATATCAATCACCACATGAATAGCCTGTTGCGTCTAAATTGTGTGTGCATCAAATATTGAAATAGATAACGCAGATTAAATTTTGTGTTACAATATTGTAGACTTTAGCTGGAAATACATTTCATTACCATGTCGTGGCGTCGCACCAGAAAGCCTCGGTTTCATAAATTTGACTTTTTATTTGTTTATCTAACCATAGCAAATGTATGAAATCGATATACTTTTAATGCGACACGACATGACAGTATATTTTTGCTTTAAATTATTTATGCTATGAAGCCCTTATGATTTAATTACAGTTATTTTGTTATCCTCAGAAACCACAGATCATACGATTATTATCCATTCGCTTGGTCAAACTTAACAAACAGAGCATTATACGTATAATAATTTCGTAGGTACATAATCACTCACTACTTATCTCTCACTGTTTATTACTTTTATTTAATCTTCTTCACATTCTTACCCAAAGATAATTCCATTGCATTCAAGACTAAAGACAAGAAAACTTAACAATCAAACGTCAAATGAATGGCGGCAAAAAAGTTGACAGCTGTCAATTTAATATTTTTTTCGGCTGAGACCGCTTACGATATTGCCATTTTCAAGAACTAAAGTGCCTTATATTTCCTAATAGACTTTCGAATTCAGAATTTGAAGAATTATTTCACATTCTCGACATTACTGTTCTCTTTTTCCTATCCTGGTGGGGACAGGTTTCTGTCACTAGGGCACTTGACTGCAGACTGTCGGGATGTGAACAGGTGACCCTCACTGAGCTTTCGGCTTATGATGCGATGTGTCGCAGGCAAATACAAACGAGAACTCTGCTTTCTTCTGCGCATATGCTATGAAATCATCTGGAAATAGAGATAGAGAAGAATACATATAAATGTATCATATCGACCCATTCGGATTAGACATGTCTGCCAACCCTGTAAAACTGTATATGATACTGTATAATTAGCGTATTTTTGTTTTTCTGTCTTTTTAACCGTTTTTTTGTTTTTTGTGTGTATTTTTATTTTGTTCTGGCTTTCATGTCTGATGCCGAATAAATACATTTTCTTTCTTTCTTTCTTTCTTTCTTTCTTTCTTTCTTTCTTTCTTTCTATCTAATTTTTTTGTTCTAGGTACAAAAATATGAGTTTTCCAGCTTACCGTAAGTGATGTATCCGTCTTCATCCATGTCGGCCTGGCGGAAGGTATTGCAGGCGTCTTCTTGGCAGAGCCCCAGACACCGTGTGGCCAGCTCCTCGAAGCCAGCCGCCTGCAGCCGGCCCCCGGTACCAGTCGCGTACAACTACATTCAATACATCACCACTTAATTGTTAGATTTCAAAAAAGACCACTTTTTAAAGGTTAAAACATTATTAAGTTTTATACGCTAGTAGTGAACCATATCGAATAATCAAATAAAAATGGCATCTCTTACAAAAATATGTCAATAATGGCACGAAGTCTATGGGTATAGCTGTATAATGCCAATATTCTGTGAGGCCGAGATTGATTCCTTGGAGTGATTTTCGGTCGAGCGGGTCCATTCGGTGCGAAAGATAGCTCTCCCACACTTAAATAGGTATACTTATCGGTTTTAAAGTGTCTGTAACTGCTACCAAGAGTCTTGTATGGAAATCACAATTTTTGGCTATATCCGGATGTCGATTATCGCACCATTTTCATCAGGCGATTATTTATCGTAGTGAGCATTAAGGTTATATGGGAAAATATAGTTACCTTGAAAGCTATGGCCAGGAGTTCTGTAAGAGGCGCGTGTTGTAGGGAGAGGAAGGCGGCGCTGAGTAAGTAGTCCGGGAAGTACAGCAACCCACTCGAGCGCTACAAATGCGAATACAGCTCAATAATATGCCAACATAACCCTCATTAAAAATACCCTTCCTATTAACTAAAAATCGCGGGTTACTCACGTTTATAATATCGAGAAAAGCTCTACTAGTTCGCGGCGATGTCGCCCAGCCTACCAGTAGGCTGCGCGACATCGCCGCATCCGCGCACGCTGCTCATGAGGAAGAACCTCTCTGTGGTTCGATACTAGTAGAGCTTTTCTCGATATTATACACGTGAGTAACCCGCGATTTTTAGTCAATTCAGTATGTGTCACGATAGTTATTATAAATACCCTTCCTATTATTGAAGTTTAGGGAAATGTTTGTCATCTTTTGGAATATGCCCACGGTCTGAATAGTCGTGTTTTATCGTATTATCAGAGGTTAATGGTTTGCTCTCAATTACATGCGACTTATGCATCATAAACTGACTGACTGACTGACTGAGCTTCGCAACATTATATTGTATCGTGACTCGAAAACAGCTGACAAAAGCTGGGGGAAGCTTTTGGCTGGCCACTTCAAATTGAGCAAACCAAAGACGTGGTATTTTCTTCCAGAAATCCGGTTTTATGATGAATACGATTATTTGAACCAAGGCTTTCACTCGCTCCGGCCTTGACTGGCATGGGCAACTGAGGATTCATTTTTACGCTTAGTATTTATTACCGGTCGCACAAAAATAGCGTTCACTTCGAACGTCGGGGTCAGCTATTGTATAGGCACGGGGACGGGTCATAAATGAGAAAGGATAAATTTCACTACGCCAGTATATTTTAGTAAAACATAAGTTAATTACAATGTCACCGAATCATAGTCCGACAAGCCTGTGAGTGGCTTACGTCGCCAAAATGCAACATTGCAATACATTAGCCATGGTGCATGACGTCCCTACAATACCAAAAAGTAAATCATAATATTGTACTCCATCCAGATATTAACAGAAAAAAAAACAAGAAATCGAGGGGCCTGTGTCACAATTTCGCAATAACAATAAAATGTGTACCAAAAAAATTTGAATATAAAACGTAATTTGCTTTTAAAAAAACTTGGCGGTGCATTTACATCAGTTCACACAAAAAAAAACACTCATAAAAACTTTATCTGGCACATAAATGACTGTAGTGACAATGAAACAGGCCCTCTTTGTAGTGAAGTTACCTGCATGAATATATCGAAGAGTCGTTGGGTGCGTGGTGACAGAGGTACACCAAGACGTTGCGCGAACTCTTCGGGGCCCAGCCAGCGCCGGACCCCGCCCGCAACACCGCCCATTCCCCCGCGAGCCAAGTGCAAGTCTAGACCAGACCGCTCCAAACTGTAATGGGATTTATAATGACATAAATTTACTAGTGTCAGCCACCGGCCTCGCCTGCAGTACCTGGGCAATATCTATGAGTTATTCTAGACTATAATCCATCTCTATGGCAAATTTCATTTGTATGTGTTCTGTAGATTTAACGTGAAAGAATAATGAATATTTATCTGCGATCCATTCATATCCATACTTACAAACTTTTGTGTTTATTATATTAGTATACTGTCGACTCGCCCTGCCTCGCACAGGTGTAAAGCATATAGGTACGAAATTTATCCACTATTTATTAGTTGTTAATGAATTATATTGTTAAATGTGTTAAGGTTAAAACTGTATCTCACATAGAATCGAATCGTCTTCAGAACAAAAGGCTTATCACAAATGTACTGCGATGTACTTTTGATACTAGGTAGTTTTTTAAGAGTATCGAACGAATTTTGTGATTCTTTTTGTCCTCTTTACATTTCCAAACGCTCACCTAGCTTCTTTACCAACGGCCAGAATGACGGATAATTTAATAACAACATTTTAAAAAGTTTTATTGACACAGAAACGTTGACTTTGTATTTACCCAAGTTGCCCTCGGATCTCGCTGACCTCCCTGGCAGAGGCTGCACATGGTATCCCCAGCTGCTTCGCTCTAGCTATGAGCCGACAGTCATCGTATGTGTAGTCCAGAACTGGCACCCCTAATGCCCTGAAAAAACATAAACACGTTTCTCTTTATAAGAACAAACTTGAAATAATAAAAACTAGCTACGTTCGCACGGTTTCACCTGCTGCTCAGCTCCATTTTATCGTAACGCGACGTTTAGCCTATAGCCCTCAGAAACATTGTAGCTACCGATCTATCAGTAAGAATTTTGGCAATCCGACTAGCGGTTCTAAGGATAACCCCCTACATACAAACTTACAAATTTTATCTCTTTATAATATTAGCATACTTACATACAATGGACGGTATTTTAATAGTAGTAATACTAGCTTCACTGACGAACAAACTGACAGATTACTATTCCATTTTGTAGTTTCAAAAGTAAGTACCTTTTTATTGCTGAGTTGGCATAAATGATTTTGACTTTGACCACGCGTCGTAAGACTTACTAAACGTTCTGAAAATAACGCTTTTCTAGCGTTAATTAGTTGAGAAAAGCTCTAAGCATCATAACGGGACTGCGACCGTCTAGGCGTTGTCACTTTGCCACCTCTAAATAGGATTCCTTAGACCTTTTGATGAAGCCACTGATCAGGAATTTACCACCATTGTTGGGTTATAAATTTTATAATACATTTTATTCAATCAAACTTACTCCCATCTTGCCTTTAGAATAATAGGCAAGCTTAAGAATTTGTGCCCACGAAAGATGGGGACTGCAATTGTCTTACTTACTTAGCCATGACATCTCGAACATTTCTAGCGTACAGCTTGGGGTCCCTTTTCTCCTCTTCGCTTGGGTAGTACACTGGTAGGAACTCAATTTCACAAGAGCTGTGCACTTGTGTCAACGTCAACCACAACAGCTTTAGGCTAGAAAAACAAATGAAAATACACGCGTTACATTTTGTAGAGAATACGGGCAAAAGAGAACACGGTTCATGTACGGTAAGCTGTCAGCACTTCTAAAAACAGGGTAAAAGTAAAGGTGTGGAAGAGCCTTGCTTCCGCACGATGAGTGGGGAGATAGGTCAGATCGACCAGAGTGATACTACAGCCCCGAAAGTGGAAATAAGATGATATATAAATAAGGTGATAGGGGTAGATGAAGATTCATCGCCCGAATGCGGGGAGCTGTGACTTCGCATCTTCAGTTTGCTTGTGACCACGACCTGTGCAACCAGGTCGAAACGTCAACCCTACCAAAGTATTTAGATAATTATTTTCGTAGCTTAAGCATCTGCAACACCACAACAATGTGATCACTAACAACCAGGGTAATTGGTACCCAAACCCCATTTTATTGAATGTAGAAAAAAATTAAAATGATGATGACTTACGCTCCAGGGCCCTCCCAGGTCCAAGTGACCGTGTCTCTGGCATTAGGGTACCTGATGGTGACCGGCTGCACAGGCACCCCTGGGTAGAACCCGCCCGGCTTGAACGTGATCAGGCACGAGCGATTTGTGCAAGTACCTTCGGGGAAGATAAGTACCTAGAATAGAAATAAACTATGTATTAAAAATAAGGACAAAACAGCACTCCATGTGTTATTCCAGACTAAAATATATTACTGTAACAATTTTTATTGAAAACTACCAAATATTCACACAAAAATTATGCTATTCAATTCCACCGGTTCCTAAGTCGTAGCATGATAATTTTGATGTCAGCCAATGATGTTCCTCGAGAAATGGCAACAAAAATAACTGTTCAATTTAAACCAGTAGTTTCGGAGATAACGCGTTCAAGTATACAAACCAACGCTTAAATTTTTTTTTAATTAGTACGTATAGTTTTTTGGTCATTAAAAAGTTTTCAATACCTAGTAAAAGTAGAATTAATTCTGTAGTTAAGTGTGGGAGAGCCAAGCTTCGGCACGAATTGGTCGGCTCGACCTGAGTGATAACACTGCTTCACAGAAAACTGGCGTAAAACAACCAGTGTTGTGTTTCACAGTGTGAGTGAGGTTATCGCAGGAACAATAAATGCCTTCCCAATCCTTAAATATCCAAAACCCTTATCCCTAAAAGGCCGGCAACGCACTTGTTACTCCTTTGGTGTGGCGGTTTAATCTGTTTGCTCGTTTGCCGATCTATACCACAAAGTTAAAGATTAATTGATTATTAAAATTTAATTGGTGCAAGCAAGCGGCTTTAATATGACTGCACGGTTGGCGCTGGCTGCCAACGTATGGTAGTTCGATTCGCGCACGGAGCATATCTTTGTGCGATCCAAAAATGATTCTTAGGGTCTGGGTGTATTTTGGTGTAAAACTTTATGTAACTGCACTCACTATAAAGTCAAAGCTAATAACGAAATATTTTCTTGCTCCTTCTTTTCCATTCGAATCTACAATTTGGAACGAGCACCTAGCTTCACTGACGAACAGACTGACAGACTATTATTCCATTTTGACGTTTCAAAAGTTTTTTTCAAAAGAAAAAACGAAGGATATAGTGGCGTTAACAAGTGACTTTTACATCGAATGTGTGTTTTGAAAACGATTATTCTTAAGAAGCCCACTTAAATTGACCTGAACGACGTTTACCTAATATTAAATTTCCGACTTATTAATTAATTTTATTGGCCGCCTGCCAAACGCCTATTATAGGGGGTTATGGCTTCTCCGCCCCCTTAGCGGAATAGCCTAGCCTTTCCTTAAGCAAATTTAGCAGTAGGTAACTATTTTCCAGCAGATGAAAAATATTTTTATTGCATTGTGTCCTAACGAAAACAATTGGATATGTTTAACGACTTACTGACGTAACTGTATGTCTGTTTGTGTTGGCTGCATTACGTTATTTAGGGCTGATTATTCAATGGTCAAATAAAACATCTGGGGAATAATTATTATGATGCTATCGCGTCAGAATGTTTGTACAAGACAGTGGCAGCAACAATTTCATTTCACAGACATGACATGACATTTCTGACTATGGAAAAATCAGCCCTTAGTTATGATAAGTAAATAACTAACTACGGAAGTTTTACTCGTATCGAAAAATAGTAAATACACTGGTTAAATATGATGTGATCTTATTGAGAAGAATGAAAGAAAATAACACATCGTACCCCGACCCTTAATAATGTAAGTATGGGAGAGCCACGCTTCGGCACGAATGGGTTGGTTCGGACGGCCTCAGAGTAAACCAGCATGAAACAACCACAGCGTTGTGTTTCGCCTTGTGAGTGAGGTTACCGGAGGCCCAATCCTTAGCCTTCCCCAATCTCTAATCACCAAAAGGTCGGCAATGCACTCGTAACTCCTCTGTTATTGCGGGTGTCCATGGGCGGCGCTGATTGTTTACCATTAGGTAAGCCGTATGATCGTTTGCCGACCTATCACATAAAAAATGTAGGATAAACAAACCAATTATTCACGCGTCCTTGATCGTGGCTTCTTATTATTTATTGGGTGGACGAATCACCACTTGTTAAGCAATTGCCACTCATGGAAAAACCTCAGGGAAGTTACTGGTGCATGTCCTTTGGAAATTAGGGATTTAAGAGATTAGGGTTTGCTTCAGTGGTCCTTCTCAAATCATTCAAAATAGAAATACTAGACTTATCCAGCTTGATTTTAAAATAAAATTGTTCATTTGTGTATTTGTGTCCTATTTAAAGGTATAAATAGATATCTTTACATCATTTAACGCCATGATTGCATATACAAATACAATATTGCGAATTGTGTCGTAGTTGTTAAAGTTTATGTGTGTTCTGCACAGAAATAAAAGGTTTTCTTCTTTTCTTTCTTTCCTCCATTACCGCAAGAGATAATAGATGAAGGAATTGAAAATATGACCTTTTGTCGTCTAGCCACTTACATGTCCACAAGACCACCGACCCAATCGATCTATAACAAAATAAAGCCACTATCATGGTCGAATTGTTTCCCACTGGCAGATAATTCTTTGTATCGTTGACCTTTCGTTAATCCGAAGCCATTGAAGGGCATCTAACTTGGATATAAATATATGTTTAAGTATAGATCTTGTTAATAAAACATGTTCCGAAAGAGATATTTTTGTATATGTATAGGTCGGCCAATACGCAGACGAATTGTGAAAAGTGCTTTTGCGGCCTCTTTTAAGTTTTTAGGGATTAACGGATATGGTATTTAAGGATAGAGGATTGGGGGTGGACGAATGGGTCTCCAGTTACCTCACTTACATGGCGAAACACAACGTACGTGATGCTTCAAGCCAATTTTCCGCCTTTCGTTTTTCGCCTCAAAGAAAACTCTGTGCCAAGCAGCCCATTCGTGCCGAAGCATGGCTTTGAGCTCTGTACATTTTCAATGACTTCAAAGAATATTTTGGCCGTCCGCCAAAGCACGTTTAACATGTAAAAACAAAGGAAACTTCAATATTCAAACAGAAAAGAACTTCAATCATGAACAATAACGAAATCCCTCAATTAACAGTTTACCCCCCTCTCCAATAGATGTCGTTGTAATCGTAGATTTTATTCCAAAAACAAATTCTAAGGACTCGTGCGTCCATGCTTCCATGCTACCTCCAAGACTATCAAGCGGGTTAGAGTTCGCAGTTCAAAAGGTTATACCAAAAATCTCAGCTACCCGACCTGTTTCAATTCCTATTTTCTTACGCAGAATGAGCAGGGGTGGTAACATAGATTATCTATTCCTGTCTACACATGGTTACGTCTTTATCATACATACCTGTGGCCAATCTTCTTTGGAAGTTGCTCTCTCGATGATCTCCTTAATGGTATTCTGCCTGGAATTAGGGTCATCCCGCCACACATAAACAGGCTGCGTGTAGTTAATAAGTTCTGGAAAGTAGAAAATAAAACATTACAAATTTTGCGTAGGTCATCGGTAATGGTATGTCGCAAATATATGGTATATTGCAGACAAACTACTCTGTCGTGAAGCACTATTACCTTAGGTATACTGTCAGTTCAATTTTTTTTATTTTTTCTGCTATGTAACTCTAAGGTTGTTGCTGGCTACTTCAGAAATTGGCAATAGGGTGGGGAGAAGGGATTGGCCCTTCGGTAAACTTACTAATAATATCAAGGATGTGCTTCATTTCACAATAAAAAAAAATACAATTTCTTCTCAATCCACCTCTCATCGCCCTCAAAATACAATGTAGCATATATAATTAAGGCGTATCTCCGACCAAGGCATCGACTAGATTCAAGGAAATAACTAATCTTTCATAAATCAGGTGAAAATATAGCAATTACTAGACACGGTGTCTAGACTCAGATAAAAGTCTAGATATTTTTCTTTTCTTTTTCTAAGAAAGTGTTAGCCGGTCTCTAATCTAGTGCTAGTTAGTATGTTTGGTTAATGAGCAAGTGGAATATTATACTAAAGATAATTATACAACTTTGTTATATGACGTTATATGTGAAAGAAATGAATAATTGCTGAAATCCGCATTTACTGAAAACGGAATCGTGTTCGTCCTTTGCAAGAGTATAGGCGCCATGACATTATCCAGCAAGTCGACTATTAAAGAATAAACCGAAAATGATATGCTCTAACACGACGCGCAGAAACTTAAATACCAGGTCCAAGTAATACAATCACGAAAATCAGACACCATTTTTTCTTAGAAAACAATGCAAGAACAGCTCGACTGCATAGAAATCTAAGAAAACCTTACAAATTTTAGAGAGGTCAGGAGATAAATGAACTTGAAGGCTTTTCACAAACGAAAAATAATTTTAATCTGTCGGCCACACAATCGGATCAAAGCAACACATAAAGAGATTTTTTTCCTACAAAGATCAGTATGGTCAGACATTTCACGCCAGATTGCTTTTCAAAGTTTAAAAAACAATCATCGCTTATATACATACATAGGGCATCAGTGCCAAATTAAATGGAATTAAAACTAGATATTTTAGGCGACAAGTTTTGTCGCGGAAATAAAACTGGATTTTTTTCATAACATTGAATGAATAATTAACATTTGTCAGAGTTCCAAATTCAGAACTACAATATTTTTAATATTAGGTAGTATAAGTAGCGGCTCATGCTTTTGTTATAAAAGTGCTCCTTAAGCGATTCGACCCTTCTTTAATATGTTTATTAATGCTTCAAAGTTGGATAAAAATAATACGAAACCATAAGATATAAATGACAATATAAAAAATGTTCCAAATTCAAGCTGTCAAAGAACTGGTGTATATTTTGTTTCTGTTTTTAATTTATATATACTAGTGCTTGAACGTGTTTTTTTAAATAAACCTCTTTTTTTATAAGGTCTTCTTTTATTACACAATCGTAAACGAAACTTCATAATTGTTACAAATAATGAAATAATTATCGATATCGATATTACTTGAATTACCTTTTTGAAATCCCTAAAAAATCTGCTGTCATTTGGTTGTCAATTCATTGCCCAATCACAGTGGGTGAATTTAAACCCCGCCCCACGGTTTTCTGGTGACTTTGATTTCAAACAAAACCGTACAAAATGCTCTCTCCACTGGATAATTTCTCTATGCTCTCAAGTCAATTATAGCTGGCTCTTTAATTTTCAAATATTTCTTCGACAGTCGATAAAAAACGTACAAATTGGGTAGTTTCCTAGGTCAATCATAAATTATTTCGACGTTTTAATACAATTAAAATTTTGAAAAATAACTATACTTTTATTCATCGATCGATCGACACACCCAATTTTAGATAAGTATTTTAAAAAAATAAGTAAACTATTTGACATCATAACTCAGTTTTTCATACAAATTTCTTAGAAAAGTATCGTTTTTGACATTTGGATAAAAGTATTGAATTTGACTAGTTGGAAACTACCGTATTGCAGTTTTGACTACACTGATGCAGAGTGCAACACGTTTTTTATAATCATAATGAGAACATATATTAAGATAATTCAAGTTTCGCATCCTTATCGCTCCGCTCGACTCCGTTGCTTAGGAAGCAAAAACAGTTAATTCAATGATTCTCAAATTGTATGTGTTCTAGGTTAGAAATCAAGGAGGTTTGGATATTAACGGTTAAATAACATGTCACAACTGGTTTTCACCTTAATACACCTGTTTGTACTCGTTTTTCAATTTCGGTTTCTGCATTCCTATTAGATCTAAACTCGATTAGTTGTTTGTGATATAGGTCAAAAGAGTAAACACACATTTCTGTAATGTCGATCGATATACAAAACATGTCTTTGTATACCCATTTGTATTATATAGAAGGAGAGTCGCCTACTAATCCCCAAGAGGACACCAATGTCCTTCCTCACTCACTCCGCTATAGGTCATAAAACTGATACCCTAAGTATCAATCAATATATAAACGTCTTTGGTGTATGTCATGGTGGCCCGGAGGTTAAGGAACCCGCTTCTCATGCATGTGAGGGTTCGAAACCTGGCAAGTACCAATGTGATTTTTTCCAGTTATATGTAGTTTCTATGATTATTTAGACACCACTGACATACGGTGAAGGTAAACATCTTGAGGAAACCTGTACTTATAATTTCTAATTATATATAAGTTTGGAGTCGCCCACCTGCATTAAGCAAGTGTGGTGACCTTCTCCGTGTGAGAAGATGCCTTTGCTCACCAGTGGGCACTTATAGGCTGATGATGATGATGATGAAACGTGTTTAGAAAAACTTTTATCACGGGGTTATAATTTAAGATTGTTTGACACACAATGTTTATGTGATGAAAAGATAAAGAGAGAGCTATTGTTCAAATCGAAACTGAATGCTGTTTGGTATGAGGATTGCGGTTGAAAGCGTAATAATAGTCCCGGAGCAGGTCATAGATACAATCATTTATTTCAACTATTTCAACCATAAATAGGCACTTTTGAAACGATAAAATAATAGTCTGACAGTCTGTTCTCAGGTGCTCGTTTCAAAGTGTAGATTTGAATGGAGAAGAACGAGCAAGACACTCAAGGAGAGGGACGAAGGTGTTTTGTCAGTAAGAGTCTGACACTCTTTCTTGACCCACCCAGGGCAGGAGGAGTCATTTGACTATTTTTTTCTATCAAAAAATGCTTTTGTGCTAATGCGAGACAATATAATATAAACTCATAGATAAAAACCCTTATAATGGTACGTCCTATCGTCTTGATTCTTAGTTTTAATAAGTCACTATTGAAACGTGGGCCCTATAGGCCTGATGTTCAGCCGGGGTTGCAGGCTAAGCGCAATGAGTCACCGCGGCCTCGGCCCAGAGCAGGATAAGGAACGGGGGGGGGGGGGGATTTTAGTCAGTAAGAGTCTGACACTGTCTCTCGCCGCCTTACCCTGGGCGGGAGAAGTCATTTGATGATTTTCCCTGACAGAAAAAAAAAACTATTGAAACGTCAATAAAAATAGAGATTTGTAAAATGAGTTGCGATCTGTAAATCGTAGACACATTCAAAAGCAGAAGAACCTTCATCGTAATAAGCGTTTCTTATGAAAAATTATGGTATTTAAAATTTCATAGTAGTTCCTAAAGGTAAGTTGTAATCTAGTGCTAATAATTGCATAGTCATTATAAGACAGCGGCCATTGTTTCGCTAAGACGATCACATGAGAACAGGTTTTTTGTCAGGGTAAAATCATAAAATGACTTCTCCCGCCCAGGGTGGGGTTGGGGTGGTTGCAACAGACGCTGCTACCACTCTGCCAATCACGACGGAGCTCGTTCCGCCACGCACTAATTTGAAAGGCGCGTCAGGGCGCAAACTGAACACCTCCAGATCCCATGGCGGTAATCCGACAAGGAGGTTGGCCGCCTCCCCGAAGATCGTGCTATAGTCGCGGATAATACGGAAAGCCATGACCCTCTGGGACGCGATCAGCGCTCGAACTGGCCGCCGCCACAAGTCGGGCGCCCATACCGGGGCCCCGTACAAGGTCATGGATCGCACAATCCCCAAATACAAGGTAAGGAAGGTACAATTTTAAAGAGGTAAAATGTGTAAGTTTGTATGTAGGGTGTCATCGTTGGAACTGATGGTCGGATTAGCAAAATACTTTTACTGCTTGATAGCTACAATGTTCTTGAGTGCTATATATTATAAGCCGCCTCATTATACCAGTGCATTAAAATGAATTTCTAATAATCCAGCCTCAAAACAAGTTCTCAAAATTATTATTCATTGCACCGTTTTAAAGACTAGACAACGAGACAATATAACCGTACCTAATTCTTTTTTAACAATCCTCAGTCTAGATATTAAAATCTTTTGCAGTTTTTGAACGTATCAATCATCTTAAAAAACCAATTTCTTTAGACTAGTTTTTTAATGTGACGACGAAACAAGCAAACAGATTACCTGGTGGAAAGCGATGAGCGCCGCCCATGGATACTCGTAATATCAAAGGAGTTACTACAAGTGCGTTGCCGGCCTCTTGTGGGTCATTAGGGATTTAAGGATAGGGAATTTGAGGATTGACGATAGAGGGGAAAGGATTGGGCCTCCGGTAACATCGACGAAACACAACGTAAGTTTTACTTAGTGCCGGTGTTCTGTAAAGCTATGGTATTAACCTGGTTGTCGGCCATTCCTACCAAAAGATGGCTCTCCCAAGCATAACTAGTATTCATAAACTACAATCAATGCTTAAAAAACCTTCAGACACACACAGATCAGCGCAACCATCGTTAAACATCATCAGCCTATAAGTGCCCACTGCTGAGCAAAGGCATCTTCTCACAGGAAGAAGGTTTTGAGCATTAATCACCACGCTTGCTCAATGCAGGTTGACAATTTCAAACTTATAATTAGAAATTATAAGTCCAGGTTTCCTCACGATGTTTACCAGTGGTGTCTAAATAATCATACAAATTA